CCCCCCCCCCTCCCCTTCTACTTTCTTCTCACTTCAGTGGAAGGGTCGGATCCCCCCCCCACCCACTCATTTATCTCTCCCTTTATCACTCCCTTTCTCTCTCTTTCTTTCTCTCTCTCTTCTCTCTCTCTCTCTCCCTCCCCCATCCCAACAGGGTCAAGCATAGCAGCCAGAGGTACCAGGGGAACAGGAAAGAGCCAAGGTGACGAAATGAAGGAAATGTTCGCCCAGTTTCTGGAGGACATCAAGAGTGAGATGCAAGAAATGATGCAGGAAATGAAGAACGAAATAAGCAACCTGAAAAGAGAACTGACAGCAGCAAAGGAGGAGATTAGAGCCCTCAAAGAGAATGGTATCGAGGCTGAGAATCAGAAAACCACCCAGGGAGAAGGTGGTAATAGTCTTTTGGATGAGAATGCCACAATAAAAGCAACATTTGCGGAAATACTAAAAAAAGTAACTCTGAAGTAATGACTGCAGTGATGGAGGTGGCCATGAAAGCAGCCACCTCGCAGGAGGCGGCACGCTCCACTAGCCAACTGATGGAAAGGAACAGATCAGTGGTTGCTGTGGGTATTAAAGAGCAAGAAGGATCTAATAGGACAGAGTGGAATGACAAGGACAAAGCAGCAGTGAATGAAGTACTAAAGGCACTAGACATGGAAGGGGCTGAGCATAGCATTGAGAAGGTTTTCAGGCTAGGCTGGTACAACAAAGACCGAGACCGAATGATAAAGATAGTGTTTGCAAACGAGAACACAAAGGAGAAGATCCTATCAAGGAAGAGCTCCCTGAAAAACGTGGGAAAATTCAAAAATGTATTCCTCCAGAGAGATATGACAAGGGAGGAGAGAGCCGTGGCGGCAGAAGCAAGGAAGAGGCGCTGGGCGAGAGGGGAAAACCAGGAAGTCACAGCTCCCAACACAACACCCCCAGAGGCGAGGGGGAAACCCACAACCAGCTACCCAGTAACACCAGAAGGGAGGACAACCCTGCCTCCCTCCTCTGCATAGAAAACCCCCCTACCCCAAACCCTCCCTGCCCCCACTCAAATGTTCAGCCAAATCTCCCTCCCCCCACACCCAATCCCCACCCTTCTATCCCTCCCCTCCTCCCGAGTCCTCCCTCCCCCCCTTTCCTTCCCGTCCTCCCTCCCCTTTCACCCCATACCCTCCCTGTCCCTCCCCCTTCACTGGATCCCCGCCCCTCATCCCAGTATCCTCTGAGACCCTGTTATCCACCTCACAGGTCCTCACACCCATGGAACAGCCTCCCCCACCAGCAGAACACTCACCAAGGAGGCGATTTGAGAAGGGACAGAAGAAAGTGAGCCTCAAAGCGATGTACACTAACATAGATGGAATTACAAATAAAGCAAATGAGCTTGGAGAACTGGTACTAGAGGAAAATCCAGACATAATAGCCCTCACAGAAACAAAGATCACGAAAACGATAACAAATGCAGTGTTCCCACAGGACTATTATGTTATGAGGAAAGTGAGGGAAGGAAGAGGTGGGGGTGGTGTAGCTCTGCTGGTAAGAAAAGGCTGGGATTTTGAGGAGATGGATATTCAGGGCTGTGAAGGTTTCAGTGACTACATAGCAGGTACTGTAACAAATGGAGGGAAAAAAATTATAGTCGCAGTCATATATAATCCACCACCAAATGACAGAAGACCTAGACAGGAATATGATAGAAACAACATGGCCACCACTAACATAATAGAAAGAGCAGCTTCTGTTGCTAGCAGGAATGGATCTGGACTACTAATTATGGGAGATTTCAACCATGGGAAGATAGATTGGAAGAACAGAGACCCACATGGAGGACCAGAAACATGGAGAGCTAAGCTGCTGGACGTGGCAACAAGAAACTTTCTACGCCAGCACACCAAAGAACCAACAAGAATGAGAGAAGATGAACCAGCAATGCTTGATTTGATATTTACCCTAAATGAATGGGATATAAGGGAAGTTAAGATGGAAGCGCCCTTGGGAATGAGTGACCACAGTGTATTGAACTTTGAGTACCTGGTAGAGCTAGGACTTATCTCCCCCCTAAAAGAACTAGGAATCAAAAGGCTGGCATACCGAAAGGGGAATTATGAACAGATGAGAAGTTTCCTAAGTGAAATACCTTGGGACACAGACCTCAGAGACAAGTCTGTACAGGGTATGATGGACAATGTTACCCAAAAGTGTCAGGAGGCAGTAAACAGGTTCATCCCGGCCCAAAGGGAAAAATCCGAGAAGCAACAGAAGAATCCATGGTATAATAGGGCATGTATGAAAGCGAAGAAACTGAACAAAAAGGCGTGGAGGAACTTCCGGAATAACAGAACACCAGAAAGCAGAGAGAGATACCAGAGAACCAGGAATGAGTACGTCAGGGTGAGAAGAGAAGCAGAGAAAAATTTTGAAAATGATATAGCAAACAAAGCCAAGACCGAACCAAAGCTACTCCACAGTCACATCAGAAGGAAAACAACAGTGAAAGAACAGGTATTGAAACTTAGAACAGGCGAGGACAGGTATACAGAGAATGACAGAGAGGTGTGTGAGGAACTCAACAAGAGGTTCCAGGAGGTCTTCACAATAGAACAGGGTGAGGTCACTGTGCTAGGAGAAAGGGAGATAAACCAGGCGGCCTTGGAGGAGTTCGAAATTACGAGAGAGGAGGTCAAGAGACACCTGCTGGATCTGGATGTTAGAAAGGCTGTTGGTCCAGATGGGATCTCACCATGGGTACTGAAAGAGTGTGCAGAGGCACTTTGCTTGCCACTATCCATAGTGTATAGTAAGTCACTAGAGACGGGAGACCTACCAGAAATATGGAAGACGGCGAATGTGGTCCCAATATACAAAAAGGGCGACAGACAAGAGGCACTGAACTACAGGCCAGTGTCCTTGACTTGTATACCATGCAAGGTGATGGAGAAGATCGTGAGAAAAAACCTGGTAACACATCTGGAGAGAAGGGACTTCGTGACAAATCGCCAACATGGGTTCAGGGAGGGTAAATCTTGCCTTACAGGCTTGATAGAATTCTACGATCAGGTGACACAGATTAAGCAAGAAAGAGAGGGCTGGGCGGACTGCATTTTCTTGGATTGTCGGAAAGCCTTTGACACAGTACCGCATAAGAGGCTGGTACATAAGCTGGAGAGACAGGCAGGTGTAGCTGGTAAGGTGCTCCAGTGGATAAGGGAGTATCTAAGCAATAGGAAGCAGAGAGTTACAGTAAGGGGTGAGACCTCCGATTGGCGTGAAGTCACCAGTGGAGTCCCAAAGGGCTCTGTACTCGGTCCTATCTTGTTTCTGATATATGTAAATGATCTCCCGGAGGGTATCGATTCATTTCTCTCAATGTTTGCGGACGATGCTAAAATTATGAGAAGGATTAAAACAGAAGAGGACTGTTTGAGGCTTCAAGAAGACCTAGACAAGCTGAAGGAATGGTCGAACAAATGGTTGTTAGAGTTTAACCCAACCAAATGTAATGTAATGAAGATAGGTGTAGGGAGCAGGAGGCCAGATACAAGGTATCATCTGGGAGAGGAAATTCTTCAGGAGTCAGAGAAGGAAAAAGACTTGGGGGTTGATATCACGCCAGACCTGTCTCCTGCAGCACATATCAAGCGGATAACATCAGCAGCATATGCCAGGCTGGCCAACATACGAACGGCATTCAGAAATTTGTGTAAAGAATCATTCAGAACTTTGTATACCACATATGTCAGGCCAATCCTGGAGTATGCAGCCCCAGCATGGAGTCCATATCTAGTCAAGGATAAGACTAAACTGGAAAAGGTTCAAAGGTTTGCCACCAGACTAGTACCCGAGCTGAGAGGTATGAGCTACGAGGAGAGACTACGGGAATTAAACCTCACTTTACTGGAAGACAGAAGAGTTAGGGGGGACATGATCACCACATTCAAGATTTTGAAGGGAATTGATAGGGTAGATAAAGACAGTCTATTTAACACAAGGGGAACACGCACAAGGGGACACAGGTGGAAACTGAGTGCCCAAATGAGCCACAGAGATATTAGAAAGAACTTTTTTAGTGTCAGAGTGGTTGACAAATGGAATGCATTAGGGGGTGATGTGGTGGAGGCTGACTCCATACACAGTTTCAAGTGTAGATATGACAGAGCCCGATAGGCTCAGGAATCTGTACACCAGTTGATTGACGGTTGAGAGGCGGGACCAAAGAGCCAGAGCTCAACCCTCGCAAACACAACTAGGTGAGTACAACTAGGTGAGTACACAGGAGACAAGAGTCAGAGGAGACAAGGTCACGACTACCAGATACAAGAGAGAGATATTGGGACGGATATTTGCCATGGCAACTGCTGCAACACCAACACTTAAGTGACATATGGAAGCTCAAGTGAGCATGACCACCCCACACTATACCACCTGACCCAGGTGATGGTGAGTGGGGCTACCACCTGACCCAGGTGATGGTGAGTGGGGCTACCACCTGAGCCTGGTGATGGTGAGTGAGAGTTGTGAGGGTGACAGTTGAGGTGACTCCATAAAGTAATAGATGCACACATGACAGATCACACCAAGACGAGGCCCAGTTTATAATATATTAGTTACGTTGAGGCATTAACCACCATTATAGCTATCATCTGGACCAACTAGTCCCTGTTTGTATCCCGACGCTTAACATTGACCCAGAGACCTTGATCTCTTACCAACAGTTGTCAAGACAATGGGAAGTGTATATATGTTCCCAACCTCCAGCCTACTCCATAGTTGGAATTAAATCCTTCTACTTCCTTTTAATTCTTTCACACCTTCAGAAACTGACTTAGGAAGTGTGTGGTGGACTATTAATATCAATTATGTATAATAGATAAAAGAGATAGGTATCTCTTGAATAAGTTGAAGGTGATAAAGTCTACCCACCCAGGCCTGGTATCTTTACTATCGTGGACATTGCTGTAGGGACCTTGGTCAGTGCCGTGAGAGGCTATATAAGGCCCCCCACGCCCCGGGAGTGCCCACTCCTGCCCCAGTGCCGCTGGTGGACAGGCCCCGTCCTCGTGGACAGTACAGTGACAGGTGTTACACTCTGCAAGTGACAGTTGGCAGTGTTAGGTAGTGAGCCCATCACATCCACTTGGATATACTTCGCTACTGTGAGTGACTCAACACACACTTAAGTGTGTGTTGAGAGCAGGACCAGTCCATTGTAGTGGAGGGGAGGACACGACGCCTGTGTTGAGTGCAGGACCAGTCCATTATAGAGGAGGGGAGGACACGACGCATGTGTTGAGAACAGGACCAGTCCATTATAGAGGAGGGGAGGACACGACGCATGTGTTGAGAACAGGACCAGTCCATTATAGAGGAGGGGAGGACACGACGCCAGGATGAAGGTGGTGTTGGTGGTCCTCATGCTGGTCGCCATCACCCATGCAGGTCAGTTCTCACGCCCCATGTCCCATGTCCCCACCACAAGCCACGCCCCTTACCCCATGACCACACCACAAGCCACGCCCCATGTCCCATGACCCCACCACAAGCCACGCCCCTTACCCCATGACCACACCACAAGCCACGCCCCTTACCCCATGACCACACCACAAGCCACGCCCCTTACACCATGACCACACCACAAGCCACGCCCCTTACCCCATGCCCACACCACAAGCCACGCCCCTTACACCATGCACACACCACAAGCCACGCCCCTTACCCCATGCCCACACCACAAGCCACGCCCCTTACCCCATGCCCACACTACAAGCCACGCCCCTTACCCCATGCCCACACCACAAGCCACGCCCCTTACCCCATGACCACACTACAAGCCACGCCCCTTACCCCATGCCCACACCACAAGCCACGCCCCTTACCCCATGACCACACTACAAGCCACGCCCCTTACCCCATGACCACACTACAAGCCACGCCCCTTACCCCATGACCACACAACAAGCCACGCCCCTTACCCCATGACCACACTACAAGCCACGCCCCTTACCCCATGCCCACACCACAAGCCACGCCCCTTACACCATGACCACACTACAAGCCACGCCCCTTACCCCATGACCACACTACAAGCCACGCCCCTTACCCCATGCACACACCACAAGCCACGCCTCTTACCCCATGCCCACACCACAAGCCACGCCCCTTACCCCATGCACACACCACAAGCCACGCCCCTTACACCATGCCCACACCACAAGCCACGCCCCTTACACCATGCCCACACCACAAGCCACGCCTCTTACCCCATGACCACACCACAAGCCACGCCTCTTACCCCATGACCACACCACAAGCCACGCCCCTTACACCATGCACACACCACAAGCCACGCCCCTTACACCATGCCCACACCACAAGCCACGCCCCTTACACCATGCCCACACCACAAGCCACGCCTCTTACCCCATGACCACACCACAAGCCACGCCCCTTACACCATGCACACACCACAAGCCACGCCCCTTACACCATGACCACACCACAAGCCACGCCCCTTACACCATGACCACACCACAAGCCACGCCTCTTACCCCATGACCACACCACAAGCCACGCCCCTTACCCCATGACCACACCACAAGCCACGCCTCTTACCCCATGACCACACCACAAGCCACGCCTCTTACCCCATGACCACACCACAAGCCACGCCTCTTACCCCATGACCACACCACAAGCCACGCCTCTTACCCCATGACCACACCACAAGCCACGCCTCTTACCCCATGACCACACCACAAGCCACGCCTCTTACCCCATGACCACACCACAAGCCACACCCCTTACACCATGCACACACCACAAGCCACGCCCCTTACACCATGGTCAGTAGTCAGAAACAGGACAAAAAAGGAATTCATATTCAGAAGCGATTAGGCAGTGTTGTGCCGACTAGACCTCTGGGGGCGGAATTGTGATTTTTTTTAGTGGGGTTAATTTGTGCTCACCTAATTGTTCCTTTTTTTTGTTGATTGTGTTAAATAGGCATTGTGTAAGAAGTTAGAACATGTTTGGCATGGAGAAATGTGTATTTCAATGCGTGTTTATATTGAATATGTGTTTTGGTTATAATACTTTCGTATTTGAAGTAAAAATGTGAATAGAGTTCAGGATTTGAGAAGCATAAGTGAATAATATAGTGAGCCCTTTACACATTGCCCCATTTTCTGTAATGTTCAGTGATAGCCTGAGGCCAAATCCATTGCCATTGACCATTTGGGTAGCTAGATGAAAAATTAACACTGCATCTCGGGGAATCACGTGACTATGACGTCATCAATATGGGGTCCATAACCACGAATGACCCAGGGGGGTCAACCATTCTTGGGGGGGGGGGAGGTTAAGGGGCCTTACAAAGAACAGTTTGGATATTTAGGTGTTGTAAGCCTTGTCTTGAATTTGCATGATATTGTTAGGTTCTTTGATATGAAGGGGAAAGCATAGAACAGTGTCTGCACATGAGGGGGGGGGTTACATTGGGGTTTTAAAGAGGTCTAAAATAGCTTCAGAAATTCCGAGTGTTTTGATGGTAGATGAATGTTTAATCAATAATTCTTGTGTATGTAACGTACGATTATGTTACGTTATTGAGTAGATTAGATACACAGTGTTTAGTGGGTTTTCATATTTATTTCGTAGTCTTAATTACAGTAGTCGGTTGTTGACAGTGTCGTAGACGCTGAGACGGAACTTGGAGCAGAGCAGGGAGCTGAGTGAGGCCGGAGTCGCGGAGCTCTATGTGGGAGAGAATTGTAGCTCGATGAGGTCCTAGTCTGCTGTCTGTTCTGTGTCGAAGCTGTAGTGTCTTGGGGTCGATTAGAACTGCATACGCCGAGTGCTACATTCTTGACTGTAGAAATTGTACTGTTGGCTATTCACATATCGCTTGCTTATATTCGGTGATTACACCTCAACTTCCTCCACTAGGATAGGAGGATGGAAGAACTGTTACCTGTAATTAAGGAAGAGATTATAGCTTCTGCAATTAGTGCTAATTAGTTATGCCATTAAGGTAATGAGAAGTTGGAGGGAGTATATGTTTGCACTCGCTATATGTATATAATCTGAATGAAGGGTCCTAGTTTGCGTTTTAGAAACTAAAATGAGTTCTTTAGTATATTTCCTATGAAAAATGAGCTTTCAGTAATCCATATAATATATAAAATGAAGTCAAGAAACACATGTTTATATGTGTGAAGTCAGGTTGAAACTGTTTACTCAAGTCACCCCTCTGCTTTTACACTGTTTTCTGTAGCCAAAGTAAAGATTCCATTTTCTGTGGAATTCAGTTAAAGCCAGTGAAAAAAATCTTGCTTTTCTGTGGTTACAAGCTTTTAATAGATACATTTGCGGAGGACTGAATTTGTTTTTAATGTGGAAAATAGCGCCAAACAAATACCTATCTTTTTTAATAAACAGTAAAGACATTGGTCTTAGTTGCGCTATTTTATAGAATACAAAATTTATTGTTTACGGTGGATCTCAGTCATTTTGTGTTGGGTTTGATACCCACGTTATTATTAAAGTAAAAAAAAAAATAATAATATACTTGGCATTAATACGGGCTCACCATATCCCAGCCCGTGCTGCTTGGGACTTTTTGTTCCAGGTAGCAAATCTTTAACAACAACAACTTGGCATTCCTGTCATTAGTAAAATTACCGAAGCTACTGATATTGAAATTCTATCCCCATTAATCCTTAAGTTCAATTATAGCATTTTTATCTCAGTAATAGTATTTCTTAAGCCGTTGGAATAAGGGACAGCATACAAAAAAATGACCCATGGCAGGCTATAATAATCTATGGAACCGCCTTCCTGCCAAATCCTTAAAATCAGCCTATAAACTGTGCCAGGCTTTAGAAAGAAAGACCGAAAGGATCATCAGGGCAAATGGGGAGACCTCTAACAAGTTACCTGTTTCCTGTCCTCACCAAGGCCACTAGCATGAGCTGGCCGTCAGGCAAATTAATAATATATATGCACAAGTCACTCAGACTCGTATTAACAAGTATACAATCTCACTTGCGCATACTTAAACAAACTCACTTGCAAAAACTCTCATACCTGGGAGTTAGCCAGCTGTCACGGGCTGCTTCCTGGTGTGTGTGTGGTGTGGAAAAAAAATAGTTGTAGCAGAAAGAGTTAAATGACAGTTGAAAAGCGGGCCGAAAGAGCAGAGCTCAACCCCCGCAAGCACAACTAGGTGAATACATATCCAGATGTGTTTATATATCATCAATCCTTCGAAATCAGACCTATCCTAACACAGCTAAGGCCAAATTTATCCCAATTTATCCCAATTTAATCCAATTTCCACCTAATTTATCCTAATATAATCCAATTTCTACTAAATTTACCCGAGTTTACCGTTTCATAGCACAGCTGAAGCTCATTTTGACAAAGTTTCACCTATCACATATAAAATTAAAGCGCTTTTTCAATATCCAATATTCAGTCACGCTATATCATGCCCTATTCCCACGACCATTTCAAGGTAATAGCGCAGCATTCATCCAGCTATTTCCAATATCCAGATGTGTTTATATATCATCAATCCTGCCAAACCAGACCTAACCCAACACGGCTAAGGCCAAATTTAATCAAATTTTTCCCAGTTTAAGAAAATTTCCACCTAATTTGCCCCCAATTTAATCCAATGTCCACCAAAATTATCCGAGTATACCGTATCCTAGCACAGCCAAAGCTCAATTTGCCCAAGTTTCACCCATTCCATATAAATTTCATGTGTATTTCCTGTATCTAATATCCAGTCGCCCCATGTTATACTCTGTTCCCAAGACCATTTCATAGTGATAGTTCAGTGTCGAACCAGCTATTTCCAATATACAGATGCATTTATATACATCAATCCTACTCAAAAAAACAGACCTAAGCCTAACATGGATAAGGCCAAATTTAAGACAATTTCTACAAAATTTGCACCAATTAATCCAAATTTACCCCAAATTAAGACATTTTCTACCAAATTAACCCGATTTTGCGTATCATAGGACGGCCAATGCCCAATTTGCCTCCAAGTTTCACTTATTCCATATACTGCAAATTTAATGTGTATTTCTAATATGCAGTCCAATATTCCTGGCAATGTTTTTGTTTTTTAGTTTTGGATCTTTGTTAAATATTGTATTTATATTCTTAGAAAAGTGTTTGTTTTGGATATTAAGCCAACTACCCTGTGCCTAACCTGCACGGATCTTTGCCGAATATTCATGACAATGTTGGTTATGAACTCAACATCCCTGAAGCTAACCTGCCTTGACCTGACATCAATTGTTGCACCTTTTTTTGGGGTGAAAGCGATGTTTTTGCATCAGCCCAACTGCCCTTGCCCAAACCTCTGATACCAAGATCTTGGTTCCATATATGGTATCTTATTCTTAGGACTCAACCAACCCTTC